CCCCTCATTCTTCCAGTGGATGGCAACTGGGGACAATGGAACAGCTGGTCACAGTGCCCAATGACCTGTGGAGAGTCTACAGTCACACGTACCCGCTACTGCAACAGCCCGCCTCCCAATTTCTGCGGAGTGTCTTGTCCTGGGAGTGGAACCGAGACCAAACGGGAACTGTGTGGACCGCCTGCGCGTGAGTGTGTTATTGTTGTTGCTGTTTTTGGTGGTGTTATTGTTGTTGGTGGTGGTGGTTGTGATGATGGTGCTGATGTATAGAATTTTGTTGTTGTTGTTGTTGTTGCTGTTGCTACTGCTGCTGGTGGTGGCAGCGGTTGTTGTGGTGGTGATGGTGGTGATGCTGATAGTAGTGAAAAGGAGTATTCGTTTAACGCCGACTACCCCCCTTTCTCATTTTTGCCATCCTGCGAAATCTCTTCAAAATTGTTCAGATTTGTTCACATAATTTGTATATATGTATAAACTGCACCCCCCCCCTCTCTCTTTTCCCCTCTTCTTCTTTTTTTTAACCAAAAATTTTACAAATGTACTTTAACAAGAGTAGATATCGCCACCCCCTCCTTTTCAGCGAAATATGTATGCATAATTTTGCTCCAAAAATTGTAAACTCTGCAACAGTCTCCCCCTCCCCCCCCCCTTTCCCCCTCTACTTTTTAGTCAACAAAATTTGTCTCAAATGATATGACGAGCTTTTTTTGCTTTTTTAAACGTGATTTGTACCAAAAGGCTCCAGGGTATTGTTTGCATTGCCCTATTCAAAACAGAACCATGTATTGGCTATAGCTAACACATCACATAAACAACGTTATATTAATCAGTACATGGCGTCAATTCGATAGGATTGGGCAAGAGGAAAAAGAAAAGTATTGCCCTTTATTTTCAACGAAACTTGCACAAACTGTGCACTCAAAAACAGCGTACCTGTTCTTCCCTCAATAGATAGCACCATTCGATAGGACTGGGCAGATGGGAAACACGTTTTGCCGTATATTTCCAAAAGAACTTGCACAAAATTTGTCATAAAAAAGCTACGTATTTGTTCCTCCACCAACCCCCCCCCCCTTTCAGAGGACGGCAACTGGGCCATGTGGAGTTCCTGGAGTCAGTGCAGCACCACCTGTGGACCCGGCACCTACACACGGACCAGGACATGCAGCAACCCGCCCGCCAGCGCCTGTGGACGCCAATGCCCAGGGCCCGCGTTCGAATCCGGCACTTGTCAACAGCAGCCGTGTCGCCAGTGTGGTGAGTTCAACAAACCCATCCCTCCCTGCTAATATATAGCTTTTTTTCTACTTGTTTTAATTATCAACAATCAATCTCCCACCCCACCCCCCTCCTTCCGCGCCAAAAAACCCCCAACTAAACTAG